CTCTCTCTCTCTCTCTCTCTCTCTCTCTCTCTCTCTCTCTCTCTCTCTCTCTTTTTCTTGACTGCTCTTGCCTGGCTCCAGATCTGAGCTGCAGAGGAAAACATGTGTCTGGACCAGCTGGTCACTCTGTCCCGCAGGGAACATCTGGTCGTGCTGCCCAGCTGCAGGGAGCCCTCAGAGGCCACCACAGCCGGGGAGCTGTCTCCAGCGCTGACCTGCGCAGGTTCCCGCGGGCTGGGGACAGGAGAACTGAGCGTCGAGAGCGACAGCCGCGCTGGCTGAGGTCGCCCTGGACGGCCAGGCCTCAAGTCCTGCTGCTGAGGCAGCGCTGGCTTCCTGGGCGTGCTGCCCTCATGCGTTCACCTGAGAACATAAAGAGGAGGCTACTTGGGCCGCACTGTCCTGTGTGAGCCACGTGGTCAGGGAATCAGAAGGAAGCTGAGGCAGGGCGTGTGGAATTATCCCTGTTCACATAGCAAATGGTAGGAGCCATGGTGGCGGTGCACACCTGGGATCCCGGCACAAGTGGAGGCTGAGGCAGGAGGATACAAAGTTCAAGCCCTGTCTGCACAACTTAGTAATTTACACAAGAGACCTTCTCTCCAAACAAAAAGTTAAAAAGGTGTTGTGGGGAGATAGGTAGTTCAGTGGGGAGGTCCTGGGTTCCATTTCCAGCACTGCACATAAAGAAAACACCACAAATGTTAGAATGATAACATCATCAATTCGCTGCAATTTAACAACAGGCAACCGTGCACAGGAAGGTGACGGAAAGGAGACCTGCACGGGCTGGAAGACACAGAGCTGTAAGACTGAAGTGGTGAGAGAAAACGGGGCGTGTATGTGCACGTGTGGGCACGCGTGTATATACACGTGTGCACATATATATGAGTGAATTCATGTGCTGTGTGTGCACGGTTGTGCGTGTACTTACATGTATGAGGTAGGTGGTGTGTGCATAAATATGTGTGCCCACGCGTGTGTATGCACGTGTGTTTACCCATGTGCGAGTATGCACACGTGTGCAGGCCTGTGTGCAAGTGACCATTCTGCCTACAGCCTCGGGAGGAGAGAACGACTAACCACTATTTTGCAAGTATTTCGAGTTTCCTGGAGGTTTATTTACTGACGGTGTTTCGTCCGCATCAGAAGTCCCAGCCCGGGAGCTGAGCCAGCACGGCTGGTTTCCTGGTGAACGGGGCACGCGCCGGTATTGTCAGATGCGAACGTGAGCTGTGAACGGCTCCATTTGCTAAAGGAAGAAGCCCTTGTGTAATCAATATACAAACAGCTCTGGGACTACAAGTAGAAACAGAAACACAATCTGTGAATGTAAATAAATAAGGATGAATAAATACTGCGAATACTCACCGGGCCTTTGCGGACACGCCGAGGGACGAGTTAACGTGAGAGTTATCTCCTCTCCTGGGCAGAACCCGGCAGATGTGTGAGTGTGGCCGCGTCAGCCTAGTTCCAGGATTAAATACGATGGGGTGTGGGGAAAAGAATGCGGAATGGTTTTCGAAAATTTCCACCTGATGGTTCTAGTGTGTATTCCTGAAACGAAACATGAACTGGAGGGAAAATAAATGAGGAACTGCTGGGATGGTCGGGGCAGAAGGATCCGGGTCCAGGAAGTGACCGGGACCTGGCGTCCGGTGGAGGGGAGGTGGCAGCACATGGGGGGTGCGGGTCGGGCTGGGCTGAGGTCCACAGTGAACTCAGCTGCAGACGATGACCCTGGAGATGACACTGGAGGTGGCTGCAGACAGGAGGCTCCTGCAGGAAGCATCTGGGCAATGAGCTGTCCCCACAGGAGGCCTGGCCGGGGCAGCCGCAGGAGCGGAGTCTGGCGTGTGTGGGAGACTTTGAGGGTGGATGTCGCCCTCCGGGAGCTTGGTGGAGAAGACCCCCCAGAGGAG